TACGATTTTATCCTCCTATACGGCAATTTTTATCTGATTTTAGGAAAACGCGTGAATTTCCAAGTCAGCGCCAAACGCTAGCTGTAGCGCCTGGCGCCAGGGTTAGCGTCTGGCGCCAATGGCCAGCGTTGGCGCCAGCCTTGTTTCACGTGCGCCAGACTCTGTTTTGATAATTTTATCTTTTTGGCTGATTTTCTCTATAAATAACGTCGTAAAAACTCCGTTTTCATTCACCTACAACCAGTTTTCATTCTCATTCTCTTCTAATCATTCGCCAACTCTCATCAATTTTCTTTTTATTCCATCTCTCTCTCTTTTTCTAAACTAGCTTTTTACATACAAAATTCTGCATACATTAGATCTAGAAACATCTAGCCATATTCGAAGTTGCCTTCGCCCTAAACGTGAAAGGTTTAATTTCTGAGGAAAGAGGTACGAGACATCAAAGTAAGTACTTTAATGATTTTTTATTAATGTTATGATGTAGAAATCATGTTTAGGTTGTTATTATGTTTCCTAGTATCATGTCTAGGATAACTCTAATATCAAATATGATTAAAAGTATGATGCTTCCTATGTTCTTCCTTATATTTATGATTGTTAGTATCATGTTAGGGTTAAAGATTTGATTTTTATTGTTTAGTGACATGCTAGGGTTTGTTATTAATCTCGTTAGTATCATGCCTAGGATCTTGCTATGCTTTAACATGATTATTATTATTATTAATTATGATTGTTATTATGGTGATTATTAATATGATTGTTATTATGATGATTATAATTGTTATAATTATTGTTGTGATGATTATTTTTAATTATGATTGTTATGATTATAATTTTATGATGATTATTATGTTGCTTGATATATATATATATATATTTATTTTTATTGTTTGATCACGCCTTTTATGCATGTTTAAAGGGAATTTATACTTGTAATCACGCTTGATAAGATATTTAATAATCTTGTTAGGGTTAATTTGATTATAATTCAAGTGATCGCCAATAATAGTTTTATTTGTGCATTAATATTCAACCAACATATATTAAACAGATTTAGGGTTAATCCTATTGATTGTATGTTATTCAAGAAGCGCACATGAATACGATCAGAATAAAGTAGAGGCCTATTATTAGGGCAGGTTCAATCTATTTTAGGTTGGATTTGTACCTTCATCCCCGAACCCTTATTTGGTTCAAGACTTTATGGAGCTGACGATCTCTTGGATCGTTAAGGGGTGTAACCTTCACCCTGTGAACGGTTTACAAGTTCCTAAAACTTGTTGGCGACTCTTTTGCTCTATCTTCTTTCCCTTTGGACGCCACCGTACTTTAGTGTATGATCACAGTGGGGTTCAAGCTAGGGGTTAACGCTTGAAATTATTCCCTACAGATAGTAGTTTTTAACTATATGTATAGTTGTTACATGTCAACTAGCTGTTAGATGTGAAAATAAATAATTAAGTAGGAGTGCTTGGTAAATTGGTTGTTGACTAAACTATTAACTGTGAAATTATAAAATTATAGAAGAAAAATTACAACAGTGTAGGCGTCATTCGAAGTGCTCCTCCTTAAGCATGTTGTGAATATACTTGACAATCATAGGAAGTGAGAATTAACATTATACGATTAGGGACAAGGAAAGTAGGGAGCCGCCTACAAGTTTTTAAGGAACTTGTAAACCGTTCATATATCATTAAAGGAACCACGAAAAGGGATAAAACCGAAGGCACAACGACTTGATCCATGAAGGTTACACCCATTTATAATCCATGAGATTACTAACTCCATATGGGTCGGAACCACGAAAAGAGGATCGGAGATGATGGTACAAAGTGAGTCATGGAGTCACATTCGCCCGTATTGACCTCTACTTGATTCTGAAACCCTAATTTCTGAAAGCCTAAAACCTAATTTTGAACGCCTTCCACAGCCACCCTCACTCTCTTAGCCTCCTTCTCTCAGTCTCTCTCCTCTATCTCTCACTCTCTCAACCTCTTGCTCTCACTTTCTCACCGGTCCTCCGGCAACACTCGTCACCTACGAGTTTCCATACTCTTCATCGTATCACAGGAGGCAGCGCGACACTCTTCACTAGCGGCAGCGCGACATTCCTCACCTCCCCTCTAAGGCTCTAATATCATTTCGTTAAAAGTGATTTTTCAGTTTATTTTCACTAAATTATTCTCCTAATTTTTCTGTAATACTATAATAATCTCTAACTTTGTTCAAGTTTCTGATTTTGTTTTTGAATTACTAGATTAGTAGATTATCAAATCTGTTTTTTTCTTCTGGTTTTTAAATAAAGGAAAATGTATATTAATGGTGGTTCTCGGTTTTTACATTCATTAGTGTGAACTCACATTCATTCATTAGGAAATATGAGTAATGTGAATTATCTATTCTAAGTCACATAAGTATAGTATACTGTTACTATACAACTCATTATTGTGAATTATGCAATTAATTTCTGGATAATGCATCGCAAATTCGCAATGACGATATGAAATCTTACTCATTTTCTTGTATTTGTGAGAATGGACAACACGGTTAACATCGGTAATTTTGATTTTTTAACCTTAATATTGATGTATTTATAAAATTAGAAATAATCATTATCACCCGTTAAGCATCCGATCCACCTGTTTCACCCGCAGATAACGGTTGGATCGGATTCGGGTGATGAGTTTTGCGGGTGACGGGTGGAGCGAATGGAGCGGATGGAGTGAGCGGGTGGATGCGGGTGAAGCTCCATCCGACCCAAATCCGATCCGTTGCCATTCCTAGTACCATGGAACGGTACAAAGTGCCATGTCATGACACCAGTACCGTTATACGATACAAAATTTATCATTTTTAAAGAAAAATAGTGTTAAGAAAAGAATCGGGAAGATCTTAGTGTCGTGGCACGACAATAGTATCGTCGAACGGTAAATAGTACCGTGGCGTGGTATTACTTTCCAGTTTTTAAGCATTTTAAAAACATCTATAACTATAACTTTTAATCCGTAATTTGGAATAAGGCATATAATGTAGGAATTTTTTTTTTAAAAAAAAACAAAACCACACCCAAATATATAACTTTTCTAAAAACCTTTTTTTTTTTTACAAAATTAAAAAAAAAAATCACTTGCAAAACCCAAAACCATTAGTATCACCACCCTCTCTTATTCCGGCCTGTTTTCGACTACGGGGTCCACGTTTCATCACCCTATTGGCCAAAATTACCAAATTTATTAATTTTTTTTTACAAAAATCCACAAGCAGCCCACGACAGCCACCCCATTCCCCTTGCTTCTTCAATCTCGCTGCTACCACCACCTCCATAGCTTGTTGACCTTATCAACCACCTAGCCCAACCTTGCGCTGCCAGACGACCACCCCACAACCTCCCTCTCTTCCCTGACGCCCTCTTCTTTGTCCCTGTTGTGTTCCTTTCTTTCTCCTCCGCGCCACCCAATTTAGCCCTTGCAACACTGCTACGATATTGATCAATTCCAGCAACCTCATTCGACCTCCAAACAACCAAAATCAGCCACCAATTCCCAGAAATGGATCAATTTGAAAAAAAAATCCCCAAATTAATTTTGTAAGAACCCTACTTTCAATTCATGTCAAATTGATTAATTATAACATCAAGTATTATTTTTATTAATCAATTCGTAACACTTCAAACAACAAACCTAAATATACAATCCCAATTGAAATACATTTTGCTAAGGAGAAGGGGGGTTTCGGGACAAGGGGTGGGGGTTGAGTGAGGTTTCGTGAGTAGGGGGCTTGAATTGGTGGGTTTAAGAGCAAGGGTGGGGGCAAGGGTAGTGACTTGGAGGGTTGTTGGTGGTCCGGAGGGTGGTTGATTTGGTTGGGGGTTGGCTGTTCTCGGTGGCAGGAGAAGGGGAAGAAGTGGCTGTCTTTTTTGTAAGAATTTTGTTATTTTATTTATTTATTATTTTTTTCGGTTAATTTTGGCTAATAGGGTGATGATACATGGGCCCTAAGTTAGAAAACAAGTCGGAATAAGAGAGGGGTCGTGATACCTACTAGTTTTGGATTTTGCAGGTGGTTTTTTTTAATTTTGTAAAAATAGGGTGGTTTTGTAGAAAATTGGTGTATTTGGGGTTGATTTTTTTTAAAAAATTAAATAATATATCATTGGAAAGATCTTTAAGTCTACTTTTCAATTTAATTGAAATCAGGTCAAAAGCTTTTGTACGTAGATTTTAAGATACAACCGTTTTAGTGCAAGGGTGTTAGTTTTAGGCTGAGTTTGATATTTCGTTCGTATTTTTTTTCGTTATAACTCAGAATTGGGCAAAGCTTATTTCAAGGACTATTCAACCAAATAAATATTTGAGTCAAAGTTATAGGGTCACAAAATCAGTTTTGTCCGTTTTTGGGTTATGGTCACGAAAAGAGAAAGTTGGGTGATGGTTTGTGGATTAAATGGAAATGTGTTGAGCTATGAATATGGTTTTAATCACTCCAAAAGATTAAACTCAACCCGATCAATATTGGCGGTGAAATGTTATTCATCACCGTATTTAGTTTTTTGGAGACATTTTTAGGTGTCTACCTAGCTATTCATAGTTATTGATTATTGATGTACTGTAAGATCTATATTTATTTAAATATATGCAAACATTTGTTTCTTTAATAAAATTTTACTTTTTAAAAAAAAAAAAAAAAATATGCTCCGTACTAAATACACACCAGAAGATGACACGTATCATGATTGGTGTGTCTTTTGGTATATAATTATTCATTGATTGAGTGATTTTTTACAAAGTAACAGTTTGAATAAAGTTTAATCATTAAAAGTTACTCAAAAACTAGTGTCGAACATGCTCATATTGTAATGTTCCAAAGTACTTGTTTTTTTTTTCTTACTCCGTACTTTTTATTTGTCTAATTGTCCATTTACATAAAATTTTATGCAAATAATTTTCACTAACGAACAAGTAAATTGAGACGAAGAACCTTTTCTTTTGTTACAGAGTATTGTTGTTTTCGTTGTCAAACATGTTCAAGGATTTAAAGTTGATTGACACACAACTATCCTATTTCAAGTGATTAGATCTTTTCTCCAATTACATGCTTCAACATACTTTTGAAATTGAAGAAGATTCAAATCCTATCCTTTCAATTGTGGGACACACATACTACTCCCTCATAAATCAGATAACTCTCCCTACATTTCATTATCATCATTATTATCAATACTATCAAAAATTATTTTTTTTAAAATTTTTTATAAAAAAAGTCAAAATCTCATTCACAAGTCACATTTTTCCACTTTACCCACCCTTTAATAAAAAGTAAAACACACTCCCAAATAATCAATCTTAACCACCTCAACCCAAATCCAACGGCCCAAAATTCTCCAAAATATTAAAAATAAAAACCTAATTTTTATTTCTTTTTTCTCAATTTATTTATTGAAATCAATTCTCCAAAAAATAAAAAAAATAAAAAATTCCCTAAAAAAATCTTCATCTTCTTCTCTCTAATGGAACCGAATGAACAAAGCGGACTAACCTCTTACTACCACCCACATCAACACCCTCACCCACAACAACCTTCCTCCACTCTCTCTCCTCCTCTGCCGTCTTCCGCCGGCGCCGGCGGCGGTAATTCTCCGGTCACTAATGGAATGTCCGACGGCACTGCCGGCGCACTCTACCCTCAAACAGTAGCCGGAAAAGCGCCGACTACATCGGAGCCTCAGCGAAGAAAAAGAGGACGGCCAAGAAAATACGGAACCCCTGAAGCTGCTGCCGCCGCAAAAAGGGCTGCCGTTCCTTCTTCTATTAATAAGCGGAAAGAACAGCAGCATCACCATTTTATTCATGGGTCTTCTTCTCACTCCTCTTCTGCTTCTTCTAAGAAGTCTAACTTAGTTTCTGTTGGTGAGAATTTTGATGTTTTATTTTATTTCTGTTTATTGCAATTGTTAATATGAAAAGGTTTTTTTTAGCTTTTGATTTTTATTTGTTTAATGTTGGTGTTGTCTCCATAGTTCAGACAACTTGTCTTTATTAATGTTAGGAATAAGAAAAAGATTTGTTTAAAGATGGTATTTTTAATTTGTTTGTGAAAATTGGGGCATTGCTGAGTTATATTTGCAATTTGTATTTATTAGAATTGTTTTTAATATAAGATTTGTTTAAAGATGATATTTTTTATGGTGTTTGTGTTAATTGGGGCATTGCTGAGTTATATTTGCAATTTGTAAAATTTATTAAATTTTTTTTTAATATAAGATTTGTTTAAAGATGATATTTTTATGGTGTTTTTATAATTGGGGCATTGCTGAGTTATATTTGCAATTTGTATTATTTTATTAGAATTATTTTTAATATGCTCGGTTGAATTCTTGTGGTAGATCAATAAGCTGATGTCTCTGAGTTAATTGTATCCTCACTTGCCGAAATGATAATAAAAATTCAGTTATAGTGTGATCTATGCATCTCTTGTATTAAACTTTGTTGAAACTTATTTTAATTGTAATCTGAATTTTCCGTTATCATAACTGATTTGTAAACTTATTTAGTTTGAAATTATGAGATCCGAAATAGATAAAGTTAACAATATAGGGTTTTACATAGTTGTAAAATTATATTTAAGTTCGATGAATTCTTGATTGTTTTTTCCCTAATTGAGTGAAAATGCTTTATGCAGGCGGTCAGGGGTTTACACCGCATGTCATCAATGTACCTTCCGGAGAGGTATGGAATTTTAATTTGGTGTAATTGCGCCATTATTTGTTGAATGTGATGTTCTAAAAGTATATAATTTTAATATCATCTTTTGTTTCCTTTTGAATTGTGTCATCTACTTGGTAATGGATTTTTTAGTTGTGTTCATTCTTTGTTTAAGAACTTTCAAGGTTAGCATTTGTTTAGGATAGGGAGGGGGGAGAAACTAGTTTACTGCCAAGTGGGAGTGAAGCTTTTTTTCTTTTATTTATTTTGCTGAGGGAGGGAAAGGATAATGGCAAATTATTTTTGTGCTAATTTTATGGAGAGAAGTAGAAAACTATGTTTTACGGAAGTTTGAAGCATGAGCATGGAAATAGCATTGAATTGGTGATAAGCACCAGCTCCTTTGGTTTGTGGATATGGAGACTTTCAATTCAACTGTCATCTACACTTTTGATTTGTGGTCAGATGCCCCAAAGACAATGTTCACCATAGGATGATAAGTGAGTTTAATTTCGTGTGAGCTTAATCCCTGTATGTATTGAATTGGTCTAGTGGAGAGGAGTTTCTGAGTTGAGAAGACTGGTGAGTATGCACAACTTCCTTTACAATAGCATGCCAGGTTTTTCAAAAGATAATAAATCGTATTTTGTGTGGTCTAGACTCTGGAGACTGCAGTGATATCTTTTGGGAAGATTTACACGGGTTTAAAAACATTTTTTGGTTATGAATTAAGTTAGGATGTTGTGTTGTATTTTCCCTAGTACATTGTTTTGGAAAAAAAAAACAATTATGAATTGGGCCTAAAAGCTTGAACTCTGTGAAAATGATGAAGACATGTATGGTTTAACCAAATCACCATATTAAAGTAATCGTATTTCTTGCAATGGTAATGGTTATCAATTTTACTGAAGTAATAGGTGGGTGTTATGAGTGGAGACAAGAATCCAAAGCTGAATGCTGTAATGAAGTTGCTATTGGGGAATTTGTGGTAGACACCAATGAGTACTCCATTATGAATAACTTCATAGCTTAATCCGAAATTTCAACTCACATCTTCAAAGACAGTCATCCTTGAATAAGTGACTGACTGCTAGATTCTTTCTTGATCCACTAAATATTTCTATTTGTCCTGTTTATCCTAGACAATTATAATGCGATGGAAATTGGGTATCCTTTCTATACCCAAAGCTTTCTTACTGTTCTTTTAATTATTCACCAGACCCATATTTCCATTTCTGGATTGCTGTTCTTACTCCTATCTGATCTAAGCTGTTGTTTTCTGATGTTTTCTTGGACTCTAGCTTCCTGACACAAATTGCAAATACTTCCAACTTACTTACCAGCTATCTAGAAGTTGATTTTAGTTTATGCTGAAAGTTGAATACTTGAAACTGGAAGTGATTGTGGCCCAATCATTGGAATGAGATGAGTGAGCGGTTTCAAAAACTTTCACTTTTAGTTCTAAGCTTTATAATTCAATTTTGCAAGGAGTCAAGCAAACATTAATGGATCCAGTAACTTTTCAGAAGTTTTCTTTTCCTTATTTTCATAGACGGATAGATAAGAAAGAATTTGTCCTCACCTCAATGTTTTGCTTTGTATAGTTGTTGATTTGAAGAGCTGAGTCACAATTTTGGTGGCTGTCTTGATTTGAAGAGACAACTGCAACACTTGGAAATTCATGTGCAATTAAAAGTAGCATAAAATGTAATCCCTCTAATCTAATTTTATCTTCTACTGAGTTGATGCTATGGAGACAATCAAGAGTTTGGAAAAGTGAGGCTGTTGTTCATATGGCATATTGAGGCTTGATTCCATCTTAGCTACCTAAAATTTATCTGGGACGACCTATATGGTTAAGTAGAGGATTATATGTAGGATTATATGTGACTGAGGGATTGTGTGAAAATGTGTAAGAGTCAAATTGAAGGTGAGAGGGGAGTAGATGACGAGTCAATTCTAAAAGTGTGATTTAGCAATAAAATTAAGTAGTTTAAGACTTTAAGGAGAGGACATATGGCTGTTGAGGTTTGTGTTTTGATGTGGAAGTTTCACTGTATATTGCTTAATGGTAAATTTTACCCCAATTAAATTTTGTCCTAAGTCCTGAGTTATATTTTTCTTAGAAGAGAGGTTGGTGTGTAGACTTGCTGTACTTATTTAGGTCTGTGGATGAGAGGTCATTGTGATGATTCTAGGGGTATGCTACCTGACTTGAGCAAGTTATGCATATTGTTGTACCCATTTGTTTACAAGGGAGGGCATTATTGCACATTTTTCCACTTATTAGATAAAACATACATTGTAGTTGTAAATGAGTGATGTGGAAATTTTGTTAAGATTACAGTTCTAGGTTGATCTACTTGTAAAGTGAGCTTTAATTTAAAATTCAATTTAGTCATTGTTTAGTTGACTTTAAATACATTATACATGGGAGTACTGAAGTTCAAATTTCAAGGAAGTAAAAGTTTGAGGAGTTGTTTGGTTGAAGCTTCCATGGAACTTGGAAGTTCTTGCACAAATTGGGGCAAATTGCTCATCTAGCCACCTTTAGGTAAGTAGAACTCCCCTTGGGCATGTTTACTTTCTATAATTTTTGTGCACTTCGTAAGAAGTGTAACTCCATGGGTATTGAAAATTCAAGGGAAGTGTAACTTCTGATATGCAACTGCCAAAAAAACCACTCAATCTTGCATTTTACACTTCAATTTTTTTATTTGAGTAACGATCTATTCTAAACTATCAAGTTACTTTGTTCTTTGATTATTTGAATTTCTTTGGTCATAAGGAGTTTTTTTTAGTCGACTGCATAGCAAAAAATTTCATGATAGCCCATTTGTTTGGTTTCACTTGGTTGAGTCTCAAAGTTCATTTTTGATGCATTTAATTACTGGGGCAAATGTGGTAGTTTCTCACTTTGACTTGAAAGTTCATGTTGCAACTTGTTTTACTACCTCCGGTCCAAATTACTCGTAACTTTGGGGTATTATTTGTGAGATATAAAAAATTCCAAAGTTGCGAGTAATTTAAACCGGAGGTAGTATATGGATGGAAAGTTTTCTGTTGTATTTTAACAAGAAAATGTTGATAGGAATGATTCCAACTTTTGGATATTTAATCTCACCTTTTTTATTAACTAGAAAATTCTCAACTTTATGTTCTTAGTCCTTAACAATGACAAAAATTTTGGTAAATGGTTTTTTTCCATGTCAAATTCTACCTCCGTTAAATAGTATTTTTAACAAAGAGCCCCAACACGGACTCCAAGGCAAAATTTCTTAAGGGTGGTTAATGAAAAGTAAGGGCATGTAATTAAGTACTCTTTCCGTCCCTTAATTAGATTCCTACTTCTCTAAATGCTAGAAATAGGAATCTAGAAGTAGGAATCTAATTAAGGGATGGAGGGAGTAGTAAGAAGAGAGAGTGGATAATTCCAACCAAGCTACCCACAATTAAACCACCCAACCACCAAGGCTCGCTAACAACCACCGACACCGCCTTCACCGCCCACCTACAGTTTGAACCACCCACACCACTATGAAAGCCATCAACCCCACGAAACCCACCACCTCGAAGCCACCACACTATGAAACCCACCACCACAAAACCCATCATTCCCACAAACTCACAGCGAGAACCACCAGATTTGTAATCAAAACTCTTAAAGGGTGTTCTTCAGTACATGCAAATGGGGTTGAAGGAGGAGAGAAAGATAAAGGGGAAGATGAAGAAGGTGAAGAATTAGTGAGTCAGTGTATGAATATGGAGAAATTTGTTGTTTATCAAAAGATTAGATAATTGAACTAGGTTGGGTTGATGAGAAATGAGTTATTGGGGAAGATGAATTAATCTGGCACAAATATTTAGATGAATTAGATTATATTAGTTTTAATTAATTATGTTTTAAGTTTGTAATTGAAGTTGAGAAGTTTTAAGTATGGGTGTTTTTGTAAATCCATTAAAATAAATTTACTAAAAATGGAAAGATTTGGAAACGTTGCAGATTATGTTTAGCATCCGTTTTTAGTAAATGTTGCAAAGAATATTTAACGGAAGTAGTATAAATTTAATAGAATTTTTAATGGAAGATGTCATTTGGTACATTGTCAGATTCACCTAACCCTACACCTCCATATTGGCACAGAAACCTGTAAGATACCTACATTGGTCACCGTCACCTAGCATGGTAGCGTACCTAGACTTTATCATCCCTCCTCCTTAGCATGTTTTTCTTATGTCTGTGTATGTTCTCATCACCTCCAATCCACCTATGATTGTAGGATCATTTATGAGTGTTAGGCTTGGGTATGTGTTCAAGAATTAAACATGGAAATTTCTAAAGTGTTACTTGTCTTTCACCCTTTTGGCCCAGTATTTAAGTGTTTATGTTTGAGCTAATATGGTATCATGTGTATCATATAGCTTACCACCACCCACCCCCCCCCCCCAAAAAAAAAAAAAAAAAAAAAAAAAAAAACTGTGTTGGTCAGAGTGTTGCATTTAAGATAAAAAACCGAAGGGAGTACTACATAGTTGGGGAAAATGAGTTGTTTGTCTCTTTGTTGATATACGAGGGACATGGGTGGAGATGGATGTAGCCAAATGTTGGGTGGGGGGAGGGAAAGGTGTTGGTGAAATTGCAAATAGTTTCTCTTTAATGATTATTAGACCTCTAATTTATCTTGTTATCCTCATCTCTATATGCTACTCTGTCTCCAATACCATATTATGCAATTGTGCTTTCTTATAGAGTTATAGGTTTAGTTCATCATTAAAAGGGCAATGGGGCATACAAAATCAATCTTTAACTTTGTGGTAATTTTTTAACACAGGATGTTGGCCAGAAAATTATGTTATTTATGCAACAAACAAGAAAGGAATTATGCATCTTGTCAGCTTCTGGTTCTATCTCTAATGCATCTCTTCGACAACCAGCAATTTCTGGAGGCAGTATTGCATATGAGGTACCGTAATTGTGATTTTCCCTTTACGTTTTTGAATCAGTTTAGAATAGGCACTTAGTTGAGACTCCTTCATAAAGTCTCCATACTATTGTTTTGTGTTTATGTCATTCACTTTCCTTGGATTCTTTATAATGAAATATTGCCTGCTAAAGTAGTCTCGAGTGTCACTAAAAGTCTATGTAGTAGATTATGTTTGCTTCACGTCACGTCCCGTTTGGGCTCTCGCTCAAATAGGTTGATCTTGCACAATTGTGCCTTGTGTTTATGTAATAGACTAGATAATCTGATTTGTATAATTATATAAATAAGCAGAAATTTAAGACTAAAAGCTTGAAGCCTTGAAATTATACTAAGCTTACTAATGGTTTCTTACAAAAGGGTAATAGGTTTAGCCTACAAAGCTCATATTAGTGACTTGAGGTCACAACTCTCTAATAAGTGACTTGAGGTCACAACTCTCCAAAATTCTGCCTACCTTCTTCTTTCTTCCCTCTATCTATTTATGCTAAGGCTAAAAACTACTAGCCTAATAATACTAGACTTTCCAAATTGCCCCTCTTAAGGTTAGTCTATTACAGTTTATTGTATTCCACATTTCCATCGCCACCAGGTTTTTTTTCATGTTCCAGAGCTGTATTTGATGCAGTTGTGCTATGGCAATGAGCGTGTAGTTATGTATTTTGTCTAGACACCAGAGTGGAGAATTTGCTTAAAGTTTGTGAACATATTTGTTGCTTAAAATATTTTTGTAGAAGAGTAGAGTTCCAAGACCCTGAAGTATCTTAAAATATTTTGGCAAACAAAAATGGAGGAAATTTGTCATTGAAAGGTTGATATTTCATCTAGTCAGTTAGTAGCCCTGGAAAAGTACCTTTGTAGGCCAATCTTATGATATATTATCCATGCTGATAGTAAGAAACGGACGGCCATTGAAAGGTTGATGTTTTATATAAGTGGTTAGTAACTTTAGACATTGATGGGTTAGTCATTTTTGCTCCAATGTGCCCTCCTATTTACTATTTAGTTGAAAAAGCTGCCCAAAGCCTTTAGATATAACAGAAATTATTGGAAATTACTGTTATTTACTCTTTGAGATGTGTATCATTGTCTGTGTGTGAATAATAGCTGCACTGAGGGCTTTAAAAGAGGCTTAGAAGTCTGGGTCTGAATACAGATGTAATTCACATGAGAAGGGTTTGAGGCAAGCAGTTTCTGCAAACATGGTTTATCAAACTCGGAATATTGTTCGGTTGTTCCTAGTAGTGTGTTAGTGAATACTGTTAGTTAGATCCAGTGTTTAATCAGACATAGGAAGCAGTTGGACTTTTGTAATTTATCAATTAATTTGCCCCAGTGATTTATTGCCTTTGTAGCTTTAGGTGAGCTAGTTGTACTATGGTGCGCTTGAGGCTCCTGAGGAGCTGTAGATGCTTGTGCTACAAGTGGTTCTCGTCTGGGTTTCGAATTACATTGTTGCTGCTTTGAAGCTTCTTTATACATAACTTTAAGGGATCATACTGCTCTTTGGTTAGCTTGATTTTCTTTTAATCTTCATTAGTACTTGTGTAAATGTTTCTCTACCTGGAGTTTTGCAGCTTTTGCTCTTCATTTATGGCTTCATGCCTTGATTTTTGCTTTAGTATCTCTAGTCCAAATATCTCTACAAATGCTGATATGCAAGATAGACCTGCTTGCCTCTTGTTTGTTGCATGGGAAAGCTTACATTTTACATTTTGTGCTATTTTTTCAGGGACGTTTTGACATTATTTCGCTTACTGGATCTTATGTGCGCTCAGATCTTGGAGGCAAGGCAGGGGGCCTTAGTGCATGCCTTTCCACTACAAACGGACAAATTGTAGGAGGTGGTGTTGGTGGTCCTCTAATAGCTGCAGGGCCTGTGGAGGTACCATACATATGCTAACTTTTGGATATATAAATCTACCCGAAATCCCATTTTTGTTAAAAATGTGTTCATATATGATTGATTGGTTCTATATACAGGTTATTGTAGCTACCTTTCAGATGGACCCCAAGAAAGATGTTAATGCTGGATTCAAAGGCGATGTGTCTACCAGTACAATGCCTTCACCAGTTTCAGCTTCAACTGCAGTTTATAGACCAATAGTTGAATCTGCTGGAGGATTTACAGTAGCCACTGGGGGTGATGATCATCAGAATATGGATGGAAGTCCGTTTATGATGCAAAGTCAATGGAGAAGTGGAATTAGCTATGATATGGGAGGTAATGTTTCTTATGTTTGTTTTGAAACACGTCAGTTTCCTCTAGGTTCTATTATGCTTTTTATCTATTAGGGCCTAGAAACGAGAACTTTATGCTGTGTTGCATGCTGAGGTCTGTATGGATACTGAGGCTGAAATATGTTGCCATTTTACAGGAAATACCGGCCACAGCTCACATGATTCGCCTGAAAATGGAGATTATGAGCAGATGCCTGACTAGATGTTCGCTTTATTTGGTTGCCAGTCATTTAATATATTAATCACAGGCCTTGCCATGCTCATGAGTTGCTTTGTTAGGTGAAGTTAGATATATATTTCCTATTCATATGGACTACAATTCGATACATGTACAGGTGACTAACAATCTTTCACTCATTTTACTCTCGATTTCTGCTGCTCACGTTGCTGTAGCTTTGATCTTAACATTTTTAGCGATTGTTAAGCCATTCACATTATATGCCTGTGCATTTTCCACATATGTGAGATGATCCTTTATTTTTAGATTTCCTTTGCTTCTTTTATCAGTGATTTCTGATGGCGGTTTGCTGTATGGGGGAAATTTTTGTAATGGTCACACGAAAGGAAACAATAAAGACAACTTATAAATATCAGAATCATATTAATATTGCTACGATGTGATACAAAACTACATGTTTTCGAAAGGTACATTAGAAGCCATCATATAGGTTTTAGTTGATACAATGTGTGCAAGGATGCCAAGATTATGATTTTAGCTATAATCAACTTCAAGTCCTACAAATATCTCCCTTGATAACAATATTTGAATTTCTTTGACTTGTCATTTTTTTTTGCAACATCAATAATCTAATATTTTTAATGACAGGCAAGATTAAATCAGTGGATCAAATCATCCATATTATCATTGTATGTTGGATCAAATCAGTGGATTGTAACTTGTAAGATTGTGAATCATATGAAAATCAATCAAGAGTGAATAAGATCCTACAGTCATTAAGATTCTACCTAAGATCTAGGTTGATGACACAATTTTGTGATCCGATTAGGAATTTTATGATACGCAAGATCTAAAGTTATTCAAAGAAGTTTTAGAACATTTTTTTTTTTTAAGATTTGTGAAAAGTTCATAAGAGAGGCTCGCTTACATCCATTCTAAAATGTGCTATGTTTAAGGACTTTAAAGCTTGAAGGATTACAACATACACAGTTTAACAAATATACTTTGTCTGTTTTTTGTTTTTTAATAGGAAAAATACACTTTAATAATCTCAATTATAGGCGATTTATTTCTAATAATCTCAACTAAGGTTTATTATCTAATAATCCAAAATACGCTATGAATTTTACTTCAACAGTCCTAACCGGTCAACAATGAGTGAACGACCAAACCATGACACGTGTTGACATGTGATTGGTCAAAAATTATAAAAGCTAAAACTTTTGTAAAAAAAAAAATATTAAATTAATATTTAAAAAAAAAAAAAACTAACACCCCAGCACTCTCCCCTCTGTCCTTCCCCCACCGTAAAATCCTTAGCAACCCTAAACCCCGCCTGAAATCGGACGACCGCGCCTTATAAAACCCCTAAAACAGCCAGCCGACCCCTCCTAATCCCCAAAACCAACACAATGGTCGGCTGTAGTACGTTAATTAGCAGACCAACAGCAGAATCAACCAGTTAGTGGAGAAAATGCGACGGCGGCGAATACAAGGTTGCTAATTTGGCGCGCGAGATGATGAGGGAGATGCGATGGTTGTTGGCAGCGTTGCTGGTCGGTGTTATGAGATGTGGGCTGCTAGGTTTTTGTGTGAGATGCGGTGTGGTGGTGCGTGGCTGGGTCACAGTGAATGCCTTGGTGTTGCACAACTGAACTTGTGGTTGCTGCATGGTTTTGGGGGTCGGGGATGGGTGGTAGAGGCCAACTGGCTGTTTTTGGTGTTCAAGGGAATTGGTCGATCAGTTTTCGGCGAGGTTGGGGACTGAGATTAGGGTTCCAACGAGGGTAGGGGTGGGGAGAGGTGACTGGAATTTTGTTTTTTTTTATTATTATTTTTTAAAAGTATGTTTAATTTGTTTTTTTTTAAAAAAATAACTTTAGACCATTCACGTGTTGATATGTGGCAATAATTAAAAAAAATAAAAAATCTCTTTCAGCATGTCACCTGTGAGGCGATGAATGAAAATATTGGAGGCAAACTAACCCCACAGTTGGGATTTAATATACCTTAGTTGGAATTATTAAAAGTAAATCGCCCATAGTTGAGATTATTAAAGTGTGTTTTTCCCCTATTTGCAACACTTCTCTTTTTACGCTTGTCGATGCATGATTTCAATCGTTAATATCTTAAGTTATTAATATGTAAAATTATTAACATTTGATATTAAAATAGTATACATCGAGACAAATCTAACATGATTTCACATATTTATATTTTTCCTTATCTATAAATCATTAAACTTATCTATAAAAAAAAAAAAGAGTAATTATGTTTATGTAGAGCTCAATATTGTATCCACTTGGTTGTTGGTTATAAAAAGCAGGAACACCTTATTTTGAGCTTTGGTGGAGACAACAACTACATGAACTACATGTGCATGCAATTATGTGAAGGAAAAAACATTTCTTCATAATTTTTTATGTGGAAATTGGGGCGGATCAATAGTAACATGTAGGAAACCTTTTGCATGCACCCGGTTTACAATAATTTTATTGTACATCGAACATTTTATGAAAAGTGATCCTTTTTTCTTATAAAAGTGGCCCTTTTTTTTTACAAAAGTGACCCATATTTTCACAAAAGTGACCCTTTTTTTTTACAAAAGTGACCCCCCCCCCCTTTTTTTTATAAAAGTAACCTATATTTTCACAAAAGTTACCCTTTTTTTGCGAAAAGTGACCCTTTTTCTTTATAAAAGTGACCCTTTTTCTTTACAAAAGTGACCCTTTTTATTACAAAAGTGATCCATATTTTCACAAAAGTGACCCTTTTTTTTACAAAAGTGGCCTTTTTTTCACATAAGTGACCTTTTTTATTACAAAAGTAACCCATATTTTCACAAAAGTGTTTTTTTTTTTTTACAAAAGTGACTTTTTTCACAAAAGTGACCCTTTTTATCACAAAAGTAATTGAGCTACGTATGCAAATTGCAAAACAAAGTATCAAAATCTCACTGGTTTTTTTTTTGTTTTTTTCAAAAGTAAACCAGACAAGTATTATTTTACTTTGATTCCAAAATTTTTGCTACTGCTTCCAATTACCATACAAGCATCGTCACCATCATTACCTTCGGAAGCAAGGAACGAAGAGCTTGATGCCGCGATCGAAGGAATGAACAGCCAAACACTCAACAATCGTCAAATCACTGTTAACGAGGCTCAAGCTCGCGGCAGTGGTGGCTTTCGTAGTGGGTGAAAAATTAAATGAACATACATACCTTGAAATTAGCTGTAGAAGATGAATCATTGATCAAAACAGGAAAATTTTGTTACAAAATCAAGATATAATCGTAAAAAAAAGAAGGAAATTGAAGAACAAAGAAGAAGTGTAGAGGAGAGAGAAGAAGTGCAGAGGAAAGAGATGAAGAGCAGGAAAAAAAATCAAATACAAACCCATGAGAGAAAAAAATAGAATCTTGCGTATGTAAACTTTCGCACGCCATTGCCATTCATTAAGTTATTGTAAACCCGCTTTTTTTAAACTTTTGTGTAACATGTATGAGAGGAGTGACTCACTTTTCCAAACAATATGCGAATTATGAGATATAGTATCTTGTGTAGTTATACGATTTATACATTATAGTCTCTCACTCTATTGTGTATAAGGTATTAGTGTTATACACAAATCAAGCAAAGCTTTGGTGGAATTGGTGGGAAACTCATTTGAGGTCACAAATTGAGCCCCACCAATTACAAAATGCTTGGGAGTAGGGGAATTCCCTTACCTTCCCCCTTTACTATCAAGCGTCGACCTGTGTAGTTGGGATATACTTTGAATACAACAATATTGATAGGGCAAAATATATCTTTTTAGAGTTGAAACAACTTTTCAATTTGATGACTTTTTATCACTCAACCAAATGGTTAGACATTGTTTAGTTCACTTTATTTTTACTTGTTTCAGAAAAAATAAGCTCAAATCAAATCAGAAAAAATAAGTTCATACTAAATCATCATTTTATGTGCAGATTTTTATCGCTAAATATCTTTATTTCGTAATAAAAAATTATGAAACATACTAATAAAATACATATTATTATGACCCCACTTGATATATTTTTTCTGTATAGATTATCGTATGTTTAGGTTAAAGTTTTGTCAAATTTAACATTCAATTCAGATAAGTTCAGATAAGCAAAAATAAAGTGAACCAAATAAGCCCTTAGAAAGATGTCAATCACTTATATTTCCCCCGTTTTCTTTAAATGCAAAACACCTTTTTGGCACGCACTTTAAGGAAGAGATTAGATAATGTAAATGTACATATTAATCAAAATAATTTATACACATAGTAGTTAACTAGTTAACCCTTCTCTAGTTACGGTGTTAAAACTATATTGATAAAGTATCTCATTTACTTACTCTAATCAATTCCTAAAAACAACGTGCCAGAAGATGTGTTGCATTTAAAAGAAAACATAGGAAGTATTCGCTTTCGCTAGGCAAGATGTTTATTTTAACGGCCTTAACATCGCCCTCTACTTTTATTTGAAAATTTTCTCATACACCCGATGTAAGGTACAATCTCCTTATATCAATTTCCTTTGTATTTTGCCTAGTTTCTATACATAATAACACGTGTCGAGCGTAGATGTGTCGATTCGGACAACTGAGTCTAGTACAGTAAGATCGAGTCGAACCTATTTTAAATTTAAGTCATGCTAAATCATTATGTTCAAACAAGTTGAAAATCAATCAGTTTCTAACACCTCTAATCTCGTTTTTGTTTATTGTAGATTGAGCTCTAGACTCTGGTGCATTGTGCTTAATGCATAAACCAAGCATTGCCAAATCTCTAGACATCAAATTGGAAATTTTGCAAATTCAATAGATTTGTTTTTGACGAGGTTGCACCGGTGCATCAAAGTAGGGTGTGTAGACTGTCGAAACGTCTAGGTTCGGTTCATAAAAATCTTGGTGGGCCTTCTGTGACCTGCCAAACCGCTTTCTTTCTCTCTTATTTTTCATTTCATTGTTCAAACTTCAAAGCAAGCTGTAAGATTTTTTTTTTTTTTTTTTTTCAAGTAGCTGCACCATTTCTGCTTCAGAGTGAAAGCTGCCATCTAAAGCTAAACTCCATCAAAATCAAAATTGGATCCATAAAAACTGAGTTTCACTTTTAATTTGTTTTGGGTCTTTAGATTTCTAAAAAAAGGTACGATCTTGCATGATTTTTGTATTTGGGTTGAAGATAAATTGATGAATTTGAACTTGAGAACTTTATTGTAACTGGGTTTTTGGTGTTCTTGCTGAAAATGACCCCAGGTTAGTGTTTTTGTGATTATTCCTGCAGATTATTCAGATTTTGATTCCCAATTTTAGCTTAATTTATTTTTTTAATTTTTTTTATTAAAATTTCTGGGTTTTTGATTACTTGAAGAAATAGCAAAGGAATTTAAATTATTGAAACATTGGATTTTTGTAATATTTGAACAGATTCAGTTGAATATACTCATATAGAGATGGGTGTTGGCCTGTTACTGATTTTCTATCAAATTTCATTGTTTATAATTTAAGGGTTTTTCTTCAAATTTTAATCCCCATTGTTAGAAATTAGACTTTGTTGAGGTATTTGATAAAAAGGGGTTTATATTTGTTTTATGGGTTAAGAAGTGTGGTGTAATTGGTGCAATGATGAGAGTGATTGCCATTGGATTGTTGGTTTGCACTCTCATTTTGTCTGTATCAACCATTGTTTGTGGATACTCACATTGTAATTGTGATGATGAGGGGTTTTGGAGCATTAACATCATTATGGAATGCCAAAAAGTGAGTGATTTCTTGATTGCCATTGCCTATTTCTCGATACCAATTGAACTAGTATACTTCATTAGTTGCGCGAATGTTCCCTTCAAATGGGTACTCGTCGAATTCATTGGTTTCATTGTACTCTGTGGAATGACCCATTTGCTCAATGGATGGACTTACTATGGTCCTCACTCATTTCAGCTCATGATGTCACTTACAATATTCAAATTCTTAACAGCTTTGGTTTCGTGTGCCACAGCAATAACCCTTTTAACTTTGATCCCTCTTTTACTTAAATTGAAAGTTAGAGAGGTGTTTTTGACTCAAAATGTCTTGGAATTGGACCAAGAGGTTGGAATAATGAAAAAGAAGAAGGAAGCTAGTTGGCATGTTCGAATGCTCACTCGAGAAATAAGGAAATCACTCGATAAGCATACTATACTACACACTACTTTGGTTGAACTTTCCAATATTTTGGACTTGCAGAATTGTGCTGTTTGGATGCCAAATAATATTAAGACTTCAATGAACTTGACCCATGAGTTGAAGCCTAGCCCCTCAAATATCTTTCCTAGTAATATCCCAATGAATGATCGCGATGTTCAGGAGATACGTGAAAGTGAGGGAGTGAGGATTTTAAGACCAGATTCAGCACTGGGAATGGCAAGCAGTGGTGGTTTGGAGGTTTCTGGTTCTGTGGCAGCAATTCGAATGCCATTGCTGAATGTTTCAAATTTCAAAGGTGGGACTCCTGAATTGGTTCAAACTTCTTATGCCATACTAGTTTTGGTTCTTCCAAGCTCAACTGATAGGGCTTGGAGCCATCATGAATTAGAAATGGTAGAAGTGGTTGCTGATCAAGTAGCTGTGGCCCTTTCTCATGCTAATGTTCTTGAAGAGTCTCAGCTGATGAGAGATCAACTAAAGGAGCGAAATCGTGTTCTGCAGCAGGCTAAGAAGGACGCGATCATGGCAAACCAAGCTAGAGATTCATTCCAAAAGGTGATGAGCCATGGAATGAGGAGGCCAATGCACTCAATTCTCGGTCTTCTTTCAATGTTTGAAGAGAATATGAATTTTGAGCAAAAAATCATGGTTGACACCATGGTGAGAACTGGTAACGTGATCTCAACTTTATTAAATGATGTGACAGAAATATCTACAAAAGACAATGGAAGATTCCCTTTGGAGATGAGGCTTTTCCACCTGCATTCCATGATTAAGGAAACTTCTTGCCTGGCCAAATGTTTATTTGTTTATCAAGGGTTCAGCTTTTCTCCTGATGTTGAGAGTAGCTTGCCAGCCCAGGTGATTGGTGATGAGAGAAGAACATTTCAGGTTTTGCTACACATGGTAGGGCACCTACTGCATTTTTCGCTTAAAGGGGGCTTAATGATTCTTCGAGTGTCTGAAGAAACTGGCAGTGTGGGAAAGAATGATAATAAGTGGGGGATGTGGAGGTCAGCTTCTGCTGACGAGTTCATTAAAGTAAAGTTTGAGTTTGACATAAGTGGAGGTCATCCGACAGACACTGTCAGGAGAACCCAAAATGATGCAAATAAGGAAGTTTTGAGCTTCAACATGTGCAAAAGGCTAGCTCAGGTCAGTGCTTCAGAGCTCCCTTTTCTTAAGCTATGTTATCTTGCATTTGTTTCATTATTATATATGGTTTCAGGATTATTATCTTGAATAAGGTTTTGAATGACCGTCTTCTGAAATTTCTTCTACACTTATTTGCATGGTTATTTTTCTAAAAATTACTATCAACGGCAGTTCACACGGTTTAGGCAAATTGTGGTTGTGATGTTGATGATTTGATGAAAGTTTATGATATATGTGCGTCTGCTGACACTGCTCATTGAGTCTTTAAAAGTTCATTCTCGTAGTATAATCAGTGATACATCTATTAAGCTTAAGTTGCGTCTGTAAGCTTGAAATTGATTTCAATTTTTTGAATTCAGTTTTGGAGATTGAATCTGAAAAGTAATTTTAAGATTGTGTTTGAAAAACACCAATTTCAATCTGAAATTTCAATTTTCACTTCACTTTTTAAGAAGTAATTTGAATTTCAATTCCAGGATTTTATATTTTATTAGTTTTGCAAGTTGATAGAATTCCAATTGCTATAAATCAAAGTATGATACTAGTTTGCTAGTTGCTAGAATTTCTACTCAACTACTCCGTAGTTGTTTTGTCAATATACAATTCTCTAAGAAGTACTGTAAAATGAAATATTATAAACCAAGTACAAGAACATTGGAAAATAGCTTTGTAGTCACTATAATCCTATTCTCCCAAACAAGGTCAATTGGCCTCTTTTCAATCAGCAGCACATATTGTACATGTCACTTTCCTGTCGCTTTGAGCCTGTAGACACATTCTGCAACCAAAATTTAATCAGTGTTTGAAAAAGTGCACCTAAGGTGCGCCTAGGCTCTGAGGTGCAAGGCGATCAGGGGTGAGCGCTTAATTAGGTCTAGGTAAGGCGTTTTGGGTTAGGCACACCCGAGGTGCACATGAGGCAAACTTCAGCTTTTAACTGCCCATATACTGCGCCTCACTTCAAAGAGGCGCACTAGGCGCGCACCCCTCTCGCTTCAGTGCGTCTTGAGCTTTTTTATACATTGAATTTAATTGAAAAAGATTTTTTTTTTTTATTTATTTATTTTTTTTTTTTTTTTGCTATTATTAAATATATGGTCGTAGGTTGCCTTAGTAATCTACGACCATAGATTTATTAAAAGCACATACTCCCTTAGTTATGTTTGACACTTTTAGTGTTCCTTTTTAAATGTTACGTTTCAATTATTTTCTAGATTCATGTAAATTTCTTTTTTACACATTCCCCCTCATGTATACCTACTTTCAATGAACTATTCTCGTTTAGTAAAATAATTACTTACTCCAAAAGCAAGTATTCCTATTTACATAAATATTTACCTATTTCCAAGGCAAATATTCTTATTTCCAATGATTAATTTATGTCTTAATACTTGATATATGTGATATCTAATATTTGCTTTCCACTATCTTATTTTCCTTAATAACCGCACAAAATCACCAAACGTAACCTTCTTTAAAAAAACAGAGGGTGTACTGAAACTACTAATTAAAATTGAGCTCAAGGGGCTTGTATAGAATTAAGAGTTCACTTAACCTTTTCATGAATATCCTTTTAAAAAAAAATCAAAAACCTTTTCCTCAAACATTGAGCTCTAGGCTCTAGTAGCCGTTGGTTTTGGGGGTTACAAAATATGAACTCTGAAGCTAGTAATAATAGGTAAAAAATACAAACAAAAGACAGGATTGATATGAACAAATGTAAGGTACGAAAATTTAATGATTTTTATGTGGAAAAAATCCTCACTAACTATGTAGGGGAAAAAACCACCAACCGTCACTAATCGGTTACAATTACGAGTGTCCCTTTCTCAATACCCTTCACATTTCAAGTACTCTAATCTAAATTCCTATGTTTGCTTGTAATACCTCACATATCTATCCCTGGCATTACAAACTCTCCTTTCAAGACTATATCAGTACATCTTGCATCCTAAGATTGCTTTTAAAATCTCTCCCTGATGTTATGTTCTACATTCCAAACCCTCAAGCCTTCTTTATACTTCCTCCGTTCTATTTTTATTGCACCATGAGTGATTTCAAACTTGGCTACTAATATCTTTAATTATACTTTTGTAAAACTTATAAAAAAAATTGATATTTGAAAAGTAGATTTCTAGATGAATCTAACTAGATCCCACATGATTGTTTTTCACTATAGATAAATCACTAAAGATGACCAAAGAAGATAATGTGTAAAAGTCCTTATGGTGCAACAAAAGAAAAACGGAGGAAGTATAGAGGATTACAAGCAAACAATATCTTAAAAGATCTAAAATTTTACTCAGATTAGGAAACTAACAAAATTAAGTATAGAGGATTACAAGCAAACAATATCTTAAAAGATCTAAAATTTTACTCGGATTAGGAAACTAACAAAATTATTTCCTAATTATACTGAAACCTCATTTTCTAAATACAATGTATATAATCTAGGAAATTAATGTGACATTATCTTCTACTTAATATTCCAATGTACATCACAAGCTATTTGATTAGCTAACAGTAATTTTGCCAAACCAAAAGTAGGATGTTGTGGAGGTTATTACTTGCCCTACCTTGACTTTACCTTGTGTCAAATGTCTTATCGCCAAGCATCCCAATGTCAAGTCTTTGCTATACATTAGAAATAAACCCAATTACCTCCTAGAGCATGCCTACGAAACCCTTTTGCTCCCCCGAAACAACTGTGAGCATGTGACAAAGCCTACTTGCACGACTACACGAGTCCACTTAATCTTCCCAACTGGACGTACTTTTCATGATTAGATCCGAGACCTATCACGATTTCTTGGACTTACTCCCATGTTAGGCCCCGTTCACCTTCACCTTATTTTTGCTGAACTGAAATTAATTTTACTGAAAAAAAATTTATATTTGCTGAACTTAAATTAATTTTACTGAACTGAAATTATTTTTATTGATTTTGTATTATAATTATTCTTTAAGAAAACTGAATTTTATTGAACTAAACTTATTTTTAGTGAACTGAAATTAATTTTATTGAACTGAACTTATTTTTACTAAACTGAAATTATTTTTACTTAATATTATTTTTTTAAGATGAAGTGAACCTGGCCTTAATCTTGAAACTGAACAAGTAATTGATTAAATAAAAAAATATTTTTGAAGGTGTAGCATAAAAAAAAATAATAAATTTATGAAATTATAAAAAGAAAAGATGGAAATGCAAGCTAGCGAGGCTTCATTTCCATGGTGCAAGCAAACAAATTTTATTTACATCCCGCTTCCAGACATTCAGTCCCCTCTTGTGTGTTTTAGTTTCAAAATATCTCTCATTTACAGCAAATACAAAATAGCAGATCCTAGATGATGAGCTGTTGACTTCATGGCAAAATGCTAAATAAATTATCACTCAAATGAATCTAAATGTGTAACTTATGATGAAGAAATTGAACTAAATTTAGATGCTTTAACACCTCAAATGAGCAATTCAATACCACCAACATGAAATATAAGCCCTTTTGTTGCTTAATTGATTAAAGTTAGTACATCAAATTATCCAAAAAAACCAAAATTTGATGAAATAAACAGCTGATGTGGATCTACTAAGGCCTGAAAGAAACAAGGATAGTTTTCAGTTCTTGCAATAATTACAAATTTCTTGTCAGTAAGTTGCATAAATCGCAGTAAGTGTTTTTGGTTTGTGTGGTGTCTAAGAGAGAACATGGGGGGTTTGTCGCACTTGTAGGGTAGTGAAGAGAACACAATGTATTCTGACATGATATTGGTAGATGGTAGCTGATTTTGTTGAAGTAGTTCTCAAATATTGATAAAATCTGAGAATCCATTGAACTTGAGTGAAAAGCTTGAAGAAGAAGTCAAAGCTATATAAAGCTTTAAGAGAATTTTTTATTGATTTGTAAGAATGAATGGATCATACAAGTTGTGAGAGAGTCTCGTCTATATAGAATTACAAGCTGAGAAAAGAAGAGAATCTAAGTTTGTTATGGGATTAACAAACTTCTAACAAACTGTGCCACATTAGCATATGACTAGGCAACTAATAACAAACTTCTAAAGAACAATCTAGAATTATCTAGAATTAGAAATTACATCATCAAATGCTTGACTTGAATATACTGCTGACCTGTGACTTGAATGAGCTGCTACATGCTTGTGCTGCTGCTTGCTGACAGCATGGGCATCATCATCTCCAACATGTATATTGTTGATTTGTTGCACCATACTCCATGAGTCGTTTTTAATTTTCCATGTCATGGTTTGAGGGAGGATGAGTAATCGGGTTATGTTGGTTGGGTGACAAGTACTAGGATATAATTTGAAGCAAGGATATTATATTGTCAAGTAACTGTTTGGTTAACATAACACTACACAAAAAATTGCAATTGCTAGGAGGTGAATTTTCAGAACTATTACTAGAAGCCATATGATAGAGGTCCAATTACTTTGAGAGTTTAAGGAACTAAGTTAGCAAGTTCTGTAAGAACTAGAATTTCCTAGGAAGTTGATGTTCATACCTTTCAAATTTTCAACCAAATGACCACTATGTTTGGCCAGTTGGCCACTATAGAGTATTGCCTTTAGTGATTAATTTAGAAGTTCTGAAGCACAAGTTAGCAAAAGACAAGTGGCAATTGGGGGCACATTCTGTTGTATATATAATGATATTATCTTAGTATCAGACCATGTCACCATTTTAGCTTTAGCCCCGGTCTCAAGCATAATATGACTAGCACAGAGCTGGAGAGCTTAACATTTTAGCCTGGCAAGACGGGTCTTCACAACCTTAAACACAACTTTAAAACCAACACTAGATTATAAAGTTTAGGCTAAAAAAAAAAAAAAATAAATAAAAAAAAACTGAATGAAAGTTCCCACAGCTGACACCATGTTGTTCCATGTAGTGGGTCGCCAGTTACCCACAGTTTTCTGGCTGGGCGCATGGCCACATAGGCAGTTTAGCACAGTCAGCATTAGCGTTACACATAACCATACTGTTTTCATTATGGTTCGTATATCTTACCAGAGCATTCTTAGTTATGAATGAAAGTTTAATTTTCTTCGTGAGGAAACATACTTTACCTCACTACTACTAGGTGAAAATTTGAAAATGACTCTATTACCTCGCGAGAAAAACCAACTCTTCCCATGAACGTGAGGTGGCGAGGAACTTTTTTCCGCACCATTTTTCCTCACGTAAATTTTTTTTCATGGATGAGACTGTTCTAATGCCCATATCCCATCACTCTTCCTTGGGCTTCTATTATGAATTTGGATACTAAAATAGCTGTGGCCTTTTTGAGCTTGTTTCTGTCATTAAGATTTAAGAATCTCAAGTATTTGGCCAGTAGTTGATAACTGACATGTATTTGTCTTGGCTTACGCTTAATCTTCTTTGTGAATCACTTGATTTTTTTTATGTTCTTGATATATACTTTTGCCTTTTTTTTAGTTTACATGACTTGGTTTTGATCTTACAAAATTCTGACTTCTTTTGTTCATTAAAGATGATGCAGGGTGATATCTGGATATCTCTAAACTCATATGGCTTGCCGCAGAATATGACTCTTGTTCTTCGATTTCAAAAGCAAAAACACCTTCCTGATGGAAACTCTTATATGCCGGAGCACACATTTTCTAACTCTCGCTTTAGAGGCTTAAAGGTCTTGATTTCTGATGATGATAATGTAAATCGGACAGTGACAAAGAGGTTGCTGGAGAAGTTAGGCTGTGAAGTATTTGCCTGTTCCTCTGGTTTCAAGTGCCTCACTGCTTTGGCACCTTCGCAAAACACTATTAGAGTTGTGCTACTTGACCTTCACATGCCTGAAATGGATGGTTTTGAAGTCGCAAGAAGAATCAGGAAATTGTATAGCGGAGGCGGTCCATCTATTATAGCCATAACAGCAAGTGCAGAGGATAATATATGGGAGAGATGCTTACAAATTGGGATGAATGGTCTAATAAGGAAACCTGTGGTGCTGCAGGGAATAATTGATGAGTTCCGAAGGGTCCTCAGGTGACCAAAATGAGAGTTTCTCGAGGTATTAGATTTATTTTAGAACATAGGCAGCCAAGCATGTCAATTTATACGTACATCGTTACCCTTTAATCTGGGATTAGGAATGTCCATCACAGGCATTAGAAGTTCAGTTACTTTGTTTGCTAACAGTAGCTGATGGCTGAGACATCTTTTTATAATTTTTTTTTTTTTTTTTTTTTTTTTTTAATTTTGAAAACTGTAGTAAAATGTGTCATTGATTTAACATAATGTCTAGTATGAACTATACTATACATGATATACATAGCAAGGATAGAATATTTTTATAAGACAATAATTTATAGCAATTTTTTGTGATAAAAAGATAGCAAATCAGCAAATGCTAAGCATTTTTATTGACAAAATTAGGATAAATCTGTATTGCTATTTTAGGGAAGTGGGCTTAGTGTTGTTTTAAAGACTAGAATAGACCCGGTCTACAATAACTTATTGTAGACCTAACCTTCTAGTATACCATACGAATGTGATTATATCATACGAAATATGATTATATTACTACGAAAGTGATTATATCATTTTGAAATTGTTATGTAAATGTATCACTCAAAAAGTAAATTTATCATTATAAAAAGTATGAAATGGTAAATTACATCATTCAAAAGATGATTTTTAAATTTTATCATCCTAAAGATAATTATATAATCTCATTAAATGGTTTAATATGAGATTATATAATTCAAAATATGACTCACAAAAAGATAATTATATTGTATAAAAAAGTGATTATATCATCCAGAATGTGATAATATTATTTGAAAGTGTCAAATTTTGGGTCTACAATAATTTATTGTAGACCGGGTCCATACAAGATCAATTGTTTTGTATGTTAAGCACATTCTTATGTTATTAAGAAGTATGATAGCCAGATCCTCTGAATAATAAGGATTCGGATCCCTCTTGTATAAATATGGAAATTGTATCAATGAAATGCCAAGAGTACAAAGAACTCTATGTGATCGAACAATTCTAATGACTTGTCAAGAAATTGGACCGTTTAGAAGCTCATAATTTTATTTTTTTTTTGAATAGCTAGAAGCTAATAAGTTGTAATCTATTAACTATTCCCCAAAAAAAAAAAAATCTATTTCTTTTTGTACTTCTTCAGCTTTGTACCCCATTCTCATCGCAGATGCTTTAGGAGGGATCCCCTCGTGAGGGAGTCCTAATTCTTTCCTTTTTTTTTTCTTACTTACCCAAAAAAATAAGAAAAAAAACAAAAAAAAAAAACTTAGGCTAAAAATCTCGAAAGGTGATATTGAAGAGTACGAGTATAAATTTATAATCCATTATAAATAGGGAGTATTATAAAAGGTACTTCGTAGCTAAACATATAACATCTTAACAAATGCGAAAATGGCACAATCTCACTCCTTATTGTGTTGTGAGTGACATTATGAGATACCAAGGTCTAAAAAAAAAATTGAAAATAAATAAACAAAAGGAAAATTTGTCAGAAACAACCTTTTAAAGTATCCACTTTATTAAAAACAACCTTTTAAATTTTTTTTGCAATTTCAGACCACATTATAAATTTTTTTTATCAAAGACAACCAAATGCTACTTTCCGGCGTTTGACTCTATTTGTCCCGATGTTAACTACTAGTGTGCAACGCACATGAACTCGTATATTGCTTAATACACCAATTTTCACTCCAATTCACTCGTACTAAAAGAGGGATGAAAGAGAAGCAGAGGTTTTAATAGGAGTTAATTGGAGGAAAAAGGGGTGTATTAAGCAATGTAGGAGGTCACGTGACTCGCACACTCGTGGTCAACATCGGCAAAAATTGAGTCAACGCCGGAAAGTAACATTTGGTTGTCTTTGATAAAAAAAATTTATAACGTGGTCTTAAATTGCAAAAAAAAATTTAAAAAGTTGTTTTAAATAAAGTGGACACTTTAAAAGATTGTTTTTGACAAATTTTCCTAAACAAAAATATGAAAAGGGGTTACCATATCTTTAATTATTCTAAACCCTAGCGGCCTAGCCTCCTTTTCTCTCTTCTCTCTCCTTTCTCCTAAACCCAGTCTCCATTGTCAATTGTAAAGGGGATTCCATTGGATTTCACCGGTAAAAAGCCCCAATCTTTATTTTCTTTTAAACCTTTTGTTTTAAGTTACAATAATGTCTCCCTCGAAAGAAAATGTTTATCTCCTTCGAAAGACAAGTTTTTTCAATCTCCTTCGAAAGACAAAGTTTTTCGTACTCCTTAGTTCTTGTCCACTAATTTAAAAAAAAAACACTTGATTTTATGTGATGAATCAATATATTTGCATGTCTAAGATGCATTGTAATTAATATGTGTCGGACACGGATACACTTTTCAAACATGTAAGAGTGCATAATCCTTTTTGGATATCAATACATGCACCATTTTGACTTTTACATTTTAAATGTATAACTTTAACGGTTAACTGTACATTCGAAAGACAAGGTTTTATTTGTGCTTAATTTGGTCTCCGGTTGTGCGGGGCTACTATTGATTATGGCTCGGATTCGGGTTACGAAATCAGCACAAGAATTTACTTTCTCACAAAATTGCGAAGCGACAGCGGATCCACTCAAAAAGTTGTATGAGACAACGAATCGAGAATTGCCGAATTGTTATATTTATGTATTTGGATTCTTAGCCCTTTCCCGATTAATTCTTGTTTGATTTTGTTAAATTCGTTTTTATCGTTCATTGTCAATTGTAGATACCTTAGGGCTTTTATTAATGAAATTTAGCGTCCTTTAGAAGTTCTTTAAAAAAATGAAAAAGGGTTAATAATAAAAAAAAATGTGATATATGTTTTAAAAATATGATCGTCATTAACTTAGTGTTTTTTTTTTTTTTGAAAAAAAAAACGTCGTTTACTTAGTTCGTGTCCACTAATTTTAGTAAAAAAAAAAAATAAGACACTTGATTTTATGTGATAAATCAATATATTTGCATGTCTAAGATGCATTGTATTTAATATGTGTCGGACACGGATACACTTTTTAGATGATGTGCTTTTCTCATGTAAGAGTGCATAATCCTTTTTGGATATCAAATACATGCACCATTTTAACTTTTACATTTTAAATGTATAACTTTAACAGTTAACTATACAATTTTATATACACATTAGGTTAAAAAAATATTGATGTTTTGAAAATGTACTTTAAAATGAATCAATTAATGACATTTACTTAGTATGTTTTAATTATGAAACTAGTATATAGACTTATGTTATTGTCCTATGTCCCAGCCTCTTAGGTCATTACATAGAATTTACAATTATAAGTTTAATTTGTGACTCAATCTTCTCGCATTTTACTAGTATGTCTCACATTTAAAGATAGATCTAGGTCGTGCCTCATGCCAAGTTCACGTGTTTTGGGGTTAGTTAGGCCTGACCCATGGCTAGGCCCATGAGTTTTGTGCAGTGCTAGGCTGAAGTTTTTAAAAGCTTGGCTCATGCACGGCAGGTTCACATTCCATCGTGTCAGGTTTGCTTGATTTAGCAAAATTGTATAAATTTTAGCATGTTTATTTAGTCACGTCGGGTCCGACCATGTTGTGTCGTGCCTTATCGTGCTTCTTCAAAATAAATCCAGCCCATGGCCCACACACAAAGTACTGTGCTTTTTTCGTGTCCGGCCGTGCCGGCCCGACTTAGTGACATCTTTACTCACATTGCCATTCAATAAACTTTATTCAGCTATCATTGACATTTCGACTACTTGGATTTAGCAACAACTTTGAGACATCCTTTCAACCTTTATAGTTTGCTTAATAAAGTTGGTTTCCCGGGATGCTGTTTTACTAGCTCATCGACTAGGAAGCGTTTGCACTTTCGTTACTTTTTCTAGTTTGTTGTTTTCTTTTGAGTGAATCTTTGCCGGAAAAATAAAAACCAAAAAAACCTTATTAAAAAAAATGAAATATGAAAATAGTTAAAAAAAAAAAAAAAAAAAAAAGCATTTTAATCGTAAATTAAAGTTTCACAAAAGGAAAAAATGCTCTCTATGGAAAACTCTGAAAATGCGACGGGAAATTTCCAATTTTCCGACGAAAGAGATCAATTGGATCGATCCAACAAAAAACCTAAGAGAAAAATCAATCATTTGATTTTTAATGCTGGGAATAAAAAAGATGAAACAATGGATGATGCTATGCTGGAGGATCATCCAATGCACCTAAATGAGGAAGGGGAAAACCATGCAATTAACAAGAATCGAAATGGAGGTTCCTTTAGAGATAGGCTGAGGGAGGTGCAAAAGCCAACCCATGAATTCCATTCAATTGTCAATCTGGAAGATGAGGACGAGGATGTCTCGGATGTCCCATAGGAGATCCTGCTTAATGAAAGATGCCCTGTTATCAGATTGTCGAAAGATGAGAAAAGACAATTGCGGAAACCATGGAAAGACTCTTTGATAATCAAAATGTTCAGTGGTAAATTGGGACACATGGGACTGATGAGAAGGCTGAAGAAGAAATGGAACATAAGAGGAGAGTTGGCTCTCACTGATATAGGATGCGATTTCTACATTGCAAGGTTTACCAATCAGGCTGACTATAATTATGTGCTCACTCAAGGGCCATGACTGTTGGATGATAACTATCTAACTATCAGGAAGTGGATCCCGAACTTTGTTCCGGATGAATCTCCAATTAAGGTCCTTACGACATGGGTTCGCATTCCTAACTTGCCAGTTGAATATTTTGATATTAACTTTTTAAACAAATTTGGTACAAAAATTGGTAAGGTGCTTAGAGTTGATAAGACTACGACACAGGAAGAAAGAGGACAATTCACAAGGCTCAGCGTTGAAATTGATCTGTCGAAACCATTGCTATCAAAATTCTGGCTCAAAGGTCGAATATGGAGAATTCAATATGAGGGAATCTGTATGGTTTGTTTCAAATGTGGAACACTTGGGTATGTTGAAGATGATTTTCCAACAACAAAGATGGAGGGGGATAAGTCTTTGGTTGTCCATGATAACCCTCTTCATAATTCTAAGCCAAAATCGGAAGAGAATGAGGATTTTGGATCCTGAATGTTGGTGAAAAAACCAATAAGAAAACGGAATCCAAGAACAGAGAAAGCAGGTATGGAACTGTGGTGCCTGGTGTAGGGAATAATTTCAAGCCTTAATCCCACTAGCTTGAACCCCACTGTGATCATACACTAAAGTACGGTGGCGTCCAAAAGGGAAGAAGATAGAGCAAAAGAGTCGCCAACAAGTTTTTAAGGAACTTGTAAACCGTTCACGAGGTGAAGGTTACACCCCTTAACGATCCAAGAGATTGTCAACTCCATAAGGTCATGAACCAAATAAGGGTTCGGGGATGAAGGTACAAATCCAACCTAAAAGAGATTGAACCTGCCCTAATAATAGGCCTCTACTTTATTCTGCTCGTATTCATGTGCGCTTTCTGATTAACATGCAATCAATAGG